TTTCTTTCTTTCTTTCTTTCTTTCTTTCTTTCTTTCTTTCTTTATTTATTTATTTATTTATTTATTTATTTATTTATTTATTTATTTATTTATTTATTTCATTGAACTTGTATCCCACCCTTTCCGCAAGCAAGGAGTAGGGGAAGGAGTAACCTAGACAGGATACAACTAGGGGACTTATGTAAGTGCAGGATACTTGTACAATACCTAGTAAAGAAAATCCTTTAAAATGCCTTGTGTATAGTAAACTGTAGAGAGGGCCCCTAGACCATAAAAGAACATACTTCTCAATGCCTTTTCTGAAGTTCCCAGGGTAATAAACCATGTAGTGAGTTACAGCTATGCTGAGGTAAGCGATCTTTGCATAGGGGTGATATTTCTGGCTCCATTAAATGTTGTAAATGAACAAATGTCATAAGACTTTGCTGCCCTCTGTTGGTAGATCATTCTGATTCAAAGAAACAGTTTGCTTTTCAGAACTGTGTATGTTAGTACATGGGAAATACATATGAATCAGTGACACAACTTGTGTTAAAAAGTTTATTGTTCAGTGACTTGTTGCTAAGACTTGTTGCACCAACAAATAAGTACCGGTATATATAGTACTGTAGTAATCGCAAAATGTTATATAGCAATGGAAGGATTTTAAGCCAGTATTTTGCATACATAGCAAAATCTATGGTTCATGTTTGTGTATGAGCTACTTACATTGTTACAAATTTACATTTTGTGCATATGTAAAATACATTTTTATATGAGAACGAATGGAATTTTTTTGTCCCAGATACATATCAAGAAGCGAAACCATGAATCCTGTTGCACGTATTCATACACGAAAGTGGGACCTGTATGATACAACGCAGTGTGGCAATTGGTCTTTAGCGAGCAAGTGCTCTTCTTATTAATAGTAAAACATACATTACTGGATACTACTGTCCTCTAATCATGTATATTTATAACCATAGTCCCAGTAAACAAAAAAAGAAGGCATCTCTATAATAGTTCCTCAGATTCAGCAGTATCACAGGGATAGAATCAGAGCGTATTTCTCATTATTACAGAAACAGTATTTAAGACTTTTTTTCCAGGAAAAACCCTAGAGGCATTTCTGTCACTCATGCATAAAATTAGTTTACCTGAAATTACTTTTTGAATTTAATTTTACAGTTCTTAAGTATTTTTGAGATCAGCTATCACCTGTGTAGGAGCTGCAGTGGCTCAAGTAGTTAAGACGCTGAACTGCAGGCTGTGGAAGATCAATAGTTCAGCAGTTCGAGACCCGAGTTGCCGCATGACAGAGTGATCTCCTGTCTCTAGTTCCAGCTCCTGCCAACCTAGCAGTTCGAAGGTAACAGCGTTCCGTGCGCCTTGGTGTTTAGTCATGCCGGCCACATGACCATGGAAATGTCTTCGGACAGCGCTGGCTCTTCGGCTTGGAAATGGAGATGAGCACCAGAACCCTAGAGTCGGACTCGACTGGCTTTCGAGCAAGGGAACCTTTACCTTTTATCACCTGTGTAGGACTATATTGTATGTTTCTAGATTCAAAGGCAATGTAAAAGTTCTACTAGATTGATAAACATGTTCCCACTCTTCTTTAATAACTGTCAGGCCTAAATGCATTATGCTTCTGTTTGATTGGGTATCAGTCTATCAGTAATCCTTTGCCTATTACATTTGCTGTCTATTTTTTTCCTACCACTCTGATCTCTTAATTTTAGCCTCTGTGTCAGGATTTGCTGCCTTTATAAATATTGATTACAAAGGAAGCTGCTTGTCCCTAAGTTTCCAATATGTGATATTTCTGTTCCCTCCAATAAATGATTAGAAATAATTGATATTTATAGAGCTTCCAAATGCCCAGGTTGCCTAGCATTAAATAAAGTTTGGTCTTGGGTAACCTTCCCCCCCCACACACATGTGCCATAAGTTATCAGTCTGTATTGGTATGGGCTTCTTGCCTATTGTTAAGAAAGCCTTAACAATGCCTTAATGGTATGGAAACTAATTATTGCTCTAAGTTATATCTTTGTAGCACACTCCAGATGGAGCCATAGGTGTAGCCAACTAATCTGAGCAGCCTTCTTGTGAATCTTCACTTTAGGTATTGCTAACCTTCACTCCTCCAACTGCTGGTGGAGTGCATCCGCTGGTGGCAGCATTGATCGTAGTAACTAGTCATTCTTGGTTTAGTGCAGACTTGGTGCTGTTGTGCCACATAATCCATGCATACTCTGCACTTCTTTGAGTTGTTTCTAATAAAAAGAATATATAAATATATTAAAATGTCTATACTAATGATAAGAAACATGCAGCTCCTGGACATTTTTGTTTAACTAGTGGGTTATTAATCATTATTTTTAATAGGTATCCTAACATCATGATGAGTTGGAACAGGCAGGCGAAACCCACTAAATTCCAGTTGTGCCTTGCTCCATCGATTTCAGCTTAGACAATTAAGGCCAGCCCAGGCATTGTCTTACAGAGCTTCCAGAAGATGCTTGGGCTTCTGTGAGTCTTCATGGGAAGGCAGTACCTCTGTTAAATTTGCATTATTTGCTTCTGCAGATGTGCTTACTTGCATTTTTAATTTTGCATACATGTGAAGTGGATCAGATAGAGAAGCATTGACTTGCCCAAAGCCACACAGTAAGCATCATGTCTGAACAGAAACACAAACATATCAGATGTTATAGCTACTATACACCTCTGGGTTTTGATACCTGTTGTGGGCAGCCGCAATCTCTGCTTGATGTGAATAATTCTAAGCAGTCCAACAGTGCACCTCACGGGTCCTCATTTGTTATTTATATATGAGGAAAATGGTAAATATTAAATATCTATAGTTAACCTATTCCTGGAGTTATGCCATTGCATTCTGTTCCAGAGGCTTATTACCTGAGTTAAAATCTATATCTTGGTGGTTCACTGTTCAGAGAAGATGATCAACTTGTCACAGTGAGAACTAGATCAGACTGTATGCAATATGAACAAGGTATACATCAGGATTCTCCAGTGCGGCACCCATGTGTGCCATGGTGCCTGCTGAGCTTTTTGGATAGTGGCTGGGGCCATTGTAAAGCAAGGCTTGTTATTGGCTGCCCTCATTCAAATGAAAGGATTTTCCATGGTTGCAATAGCAGCTACATCCACTAGAGGATTAGGAGGACTGGTATGCTTGTGGTTCCATTCCCTTTTCAGGTTTTTCTTTGATTGTTCCCCCTATTTTTTCTCCTTCCTCCTGGGGTTTCCTTAATTTCTTTTTATTCCCCTTCTGCAACTTTTTTGCAAAACAAGGAGGGAGGCATTATGTTTAGCTCCATCTCCTGAGACAACCATTTTTGATTTGGCCTTGCTTAGGTTTGCCAGGTCCTACCTCCAATCCAGCAGGGGGTTCCTGGGTCCTTGTCAGGATCTTTGCACACATGGCACAATGACATCACCCAGAAGTGATGTCATCACATTGCTGATGTCTGGGGGATTACATTCTAGTTTTTCGGCGAACTATGGTTTTGAGGGTAAAATATCCTGAACAGCCCTTCCCGCATCAGCGTTGCCAGCACGATGACGTCACCCAGAAGTGATGTCACTGCATCACCCCCTACAGCAACACAATGAGGGAGGGGGCTGTTTGTCATTCAAATGAAAGGATTTTCCATGGTTGCAATAGCAGCTACATCCACTAGAGGATTAGGAGGACTGGTATGCTTGTGGTTCCATTCCCTTTTCAGGTTTTTCTTTGATTGTTCCCCCTATTTTTTCTCCTTCCTCCTGGGGTTTCCTTAATTTCTTTTTATTCCCCTTCTGCAACTTTTTTGCAAAACAAGGAGGGAGGCATTATGTTTAGCTCCACCTCCTGAGACAACCATTTTTGATTTGGCCTTGCTTAGGTTTGCCAGGTCCTACCTCCAATCCAGCAGGGGGTTCCTGGGTCCTTGTCAGGATCTTTGCACACATGGCACAATGACATCACCCAGAAGTGATGTCATCACATTGCTGATGTCTGGGGGATTACATTCTAGTTTTTCGGCGAACTATGGTTTTGAGGGTAAAATATCCTGAACAGCCCTTCCCGCATCAGCGTTGCCAGCACGATGACGTCACCCAGAAGTGATGTCACTGCATCACCCCCTACAGCAACACAATGAGGGAGGGGGCTGTTTGGGGGTGGGGCTTCCCCACCAGCTGGTCAGCCGGTGGCAGATTGGATCCCCCAAAACTGGCGGAATCACCATCCTAACAAGGGGGATGGCAACCCTAGCCTTGCCTCCTGTGGAAGCCATCTTGACTTTGGCTGTACCTCCTGCAGCAGCCATTTTAGGGTGGTGCTCATCACCCCCTCTCAAAATTCCAAAAGTACCCATAGGCTTAAAAAGGTTTGGAACCCCCTGGTCTACATATTACCAAAACATGAATCTTTGGTTGCTTCATCTAGTAACCATATATGACTCAGTCCAATGTGGATAAAAAATGTGGCCACCCACTGCAAAGGTGTTTTGCAAGTCCAGTGAAAGCACCATGCTTGCAGAGTTTTTTTTAAAAAAACGCAGAAAGTAAAGAAGAATGTCTACATATATGCGTGAACCTGGTATATGTGGGAGGGATAGGAGGGGTAGGAGCTACCCAAAATAGTATTATGTTGTGTGGGTCGCACATGAAAGTGAGTGCAGGGGGGAGTTGGGATAGAGGCGGGAGAGGACTGGTCACAGCCAGGATCTGCAAACAAGAGAGGGCGAAAGCAGCAGACAGCAAGAGTGGGGGGACAACAAAGAGGGCTTTGAAGCCATCTGGGTAGGAGGGAAGGAAGTGGAACCAAAAGCATCGGGGAGCAGAAGCAAGTGTGGTCAAACTGGGGCCACTCCAGTGGAGTTGATGTCCCATAGAGCAGCAAAATCAGGCCACCTGGGGACAATGAAGGGGTCTCAGTATTTTCAGGTGACTCTCCAGGTATTCAGAAAAATATTACTTTGTAAAATAACTAAAAGACCTCTCTTCCATGCACAGAAAAAGTTTGGTTAGAATTAAATATGCTCCAGGACACAGAATGCTGAGAATCAGTTGAAGGGAAGAAAATGAGGGAAATTAGTCTGCTTAAGCTGCTGATAGTTCAGAGAATTATGGATGGGGAAATGTTTGAGGTTTCAGGACTTTTTCCTTTCTGTAATTTCTTGCAGACCACCAGCTTGTATAGCATTGTTCAACTTTGGAGAGTGCCATTAGTGTGTTATCAAAATAAGAAATTGGCACTGTAAAACTTTCATTGCTCACTACTTTTTGTATTAATGGTCAAGCTTTATGTTCCGAATCCATTTTAACATTTCTCACTTGCTTTACTATAGGCAGCTGCAGGAACAACAACGCCAGAAGGAGCTGGAAAGGGAGAGGCTGGAGCGGGAGAGGCTGGAAAGAGAGAGGCTAGAAAAGGAAAGACTGGAGAGAGAGCGATTTGAAAAACAGGAGCAACTGGAGAGGGACCGGCAAGAACGAGACCGGCAAGAACGAGACCGGCAAGAACGAGACCGGCAAGAACGAGACCGGCAAGAACGAGACCGGCAAGAGCGCCTAGAAAGAGAGCGACAAGAACGGGAAAGACAAGAGCGGGAGAGATTGGAATGGGAAAGGCAGGAAAGGGAACACCAAGAACAGCTAGAAAGAGAGCAGCTGGAATGGGAAAGAGAAAGAAAACTGTCAAGTGCTGGTAAGAATTTTAATATTGCCTTGAAATATGTGGTTTGTGTGAGCTCATTAACAATAGTCAGAGTTTAAAATTACTTATTCCTTGATTACCTATAAATTAACTGGAATCTTGTGAGATACAGAAATTATTCTCAGGAGCTACATGCACTCTGGGTGATGGTTATGTATTTGAGCTTTCATTGTACAAGTGTTTAACTTTTTCAACTTGTTTTAAGAAAATCTCATCTAAAGTCTTTTATAGGAAAAGGAAAGATAAATGAAACTGAGAAGTTGCCTGTGCATTTTTAACCCGTATGTGTTTTGTGTCTGTTCTGTGCGTGCCTCCTGGAAAGAAGGTGTGCTGTATTGGAAGCCTGGCATGATTGAGACATTCTAGTCAAATGTATGAGCATGTGCGACTGACATCATCAATACCATCTCATCAGTACCATCTTACACATAGTGATGGACTGCCCCTTGCTTAAAAAAAAAAAGAGAGAGAGAGCGCAGTGGATCCAGAGGTGGATTTTGGTGCATGATAACATCTTGCCAGATTCAGTTTCCCAAACCCTACTTTTGGATGTAAACTATGATTGTATAGGAGCCAATGCAAAAGTTTTTGGCAGCTGCTTCTTCTAGGCATAAAGTCGAATTAAAATTCTTTAGGAGTATGTTATTATCCTATGGTTGTAGTTAATACTTAGAGATGGTGGCAACAGTTATATTAGTGTGGTTTCTGGTCTGCCTTTCTCATCAGTTTCCCGTTCTTATCATATATATGCGGCAGGCACAGGCTGTAACGATGGAATCAGGGCACGGGCTCTACCTTTCTCAAGTATCATTAATGATCCTTAATGAAATGTTGGTGGTGTTATTAATGGTGGCAGCTCCTTAACGAAAGGCTGGTGGAAGAGCTCTGTCTTGCAGACCCTGCAGAACTGTAAAAGGTCTTGGAGGGCCCTGGTCTCTTCTGGGAGCTCATTCCATCAGTGCGGAACTGCCACTGAGAAGGCCCTGGCCCTGGTTGTTGCCAGTCTGATGTCTTTGGGGCCCGGGAGGGTCAATCAGTTTTTCCCCCCTCCAATTTATTATTTTTATTTTCATATATAAACAAACAGACAACACTGCAATTATTAACCATATATCAACAAGATATAACATTACATAACTATAGGAGAACATTTTTAAACAAGAAATAGTTTCTTTTACGTAACTAAAAGGTTGGGGTTGAAAAAACATACAGAAATATATCATGTGATGATTTAAAAATATGACAATTTTTCATAATAGCGATTTTTGGTACAATGCCACTATTTGCCAGATATTCTAATATAGGGTATCAAGTCGCATGGAATAGTTTTTGTTTACTTGCTGTGTTTTCCTCGAAGGTGTTGTTAGAAATTCTACTGAGTACAAAGTATTCCCAGAGTTTATTTTGCCAGCAATATAAAGATGGAGCATCTTTTGTTTTCCAAAATTGCGTGATGGAGATCCTGGCAATTGCAATCAATATTGCAGTCTGTGTCCTTGTACTTTTTCTCTCCAAGTCTATCAATCCTAGTTCTAATACAACTGACTCTAGTGTAGCAGGTAATTGAATATCATTAATAATCACAATTAGAGTCAATCAGTTTTGAGACCCTGAACACAGTGCTTGCTGGGGTATATATGGGGAAAGGTGGTCCCTCAGGTATGTCGGCCCCTGACCATATAAGGGTTTAAAGGTAAGAACCAGCACGTTGAAGTGAATTCGGAATGCTATCGGCAGCCAGTGTAAGGCCTTTAGCACAGGCTGGATGTGCCCCTGCATAGGGAGACCCATCAAGAGCCTGGCTGCTGCATTTTGCACTAGCTGCAGTTTCCGGATTTGCGACAAGGGCAGCCCCATGTAGACAGCATTATAGTAGTCCAGTCTCGAGGTGACCATCGTGTGGATCACTGTTGCTAAGTCGTTGCAGTTAAGGAAGGGAACCAAATGCCTAATCAGCTGAAAATGGTAAATGGCTGACTTGGCAGTGGCTTTTATTTTCCCACTTATTTTCCCCCTTAAGCTTTTATTTTCCCACAACTTTTTCTTGTTGGTTAGAAAAAAAATGTTGCAAGGGACTTCCAGGAGTCTCTTGGAGTGTATTCTGCTGTTCAAGCCATATTATACAATTCTAGATGTAAAGCCTTATACAAAGGAAGTAAGCATGATATCCTATGTATTTTATGCTGAGTTGGGCCATCTGTGGGGTGTATCTCTACACAGCTGTTCCTAAAAATCTGGTTTTAATTCTTCCCCAAATTCTGTAAAATCCATTTCTGTTATTCAACATCTTAATGCTGGCACCACAGTTTCTCTTATTCCAGCCGATCTCTTATGTGAAAACTTCATAGTTATGCTCTCTTGGTGTTGGTAGAAAGTGCTGTCAAGTTACAGCCAATTTATGGCGACCCCACAGGGTTTTCAAGGCAAGAGACAAAAGGAGGTGGTTTGCCATTGCTTGCCCATGTGTAGTGACCCAGGTATTCCTTGGTGGTCTCCCATCCAAATACTGACCAAGGTGACCCTGCTTAGCTTCTGAGATCTGGGGAGATTTGGCTAGCCTGGGCCATCCAGGTCAGCTGAAGTATGAAATTTCTTATGTGAAACTTCCGTGTTATGCTCTCTTAACATTTGTGTATCCCTTCCTTGTAGCCGCCTCCATTCGGCCCTGAAGCCCAGCAGACTTCAGTCTGCACTTTGGACAGTGTGTAACTCTTTTCCTTCAGGGTGTGTAGGAGAGGGATATGGCATATTTTAGGTTATTTCTCAATAAACTGGCAGTAGCCAGTTGTCTGAGTAAATTGCATGTCTGGCATTAGAATTTACTGCCATTTGGCAGATCTGCATGAAGAATCTTGTTGACCACCTTTTAGCAAGCTGTGTGGACAGTATTTTTTATGAATTACTAAGTGAAATACTTCGAATTCAATATTATATTGTCCCTGTTCAGTATTTGAATATTTTACAGACCAGAGCGCTGTGATTTTCATTCAGAAGGCCACATAAAAATTTTGAATTTTATACATTTGCAGAGCCTTTGTTTCTTCCCAGAGAGCATCCATTTGTACCTTAGTGTCTTTTGATTATAAACCTGTGACTATTGCACAGGAAGGCAAAGGATGAGATGGTTAGACAGTGTCATAGATGCAACGAACATGAAATTGAGCCAACTTCAGAGGACGGCGGAAGACAGGAAGACCTGGCGTGATCTGGTCCATGGGGTCGCAAAGAGTCGGACTTGACTGTGCGACTGAACAACAACAAAAATTGCAGGAGCTCTGTTCAGAGAGAAGGAACAGGCAGTAGTGCTTACTGTGGAAAGCAGTATCAAATCCTTGGGATGCTTGGCTGTTTTTCTTATCACAAACACATGTGAATAAAAAAGCTAGATCATCTCTCTTGGGAGTCTGGCATCATCCATTTTGTATTCTTTCATGACTACCTGATTCAGGGATATCCATTACTACAGGACTTGCTTTGAATGCTGAGGAGTGTTGAAAATGTTGAGAGATGCAGTATTTATGTGCACATGTGTGCATGTCTGGTTTTTCTATGACTGAGCACTTTGCTGCAAAATCTAGAACTTGAGTGGTTTCAGCTTAGCTATAATATAACTGAATATGTTGGCATTCTTCTGTGCTTATTTAAAGGTTCCCACATCTCACTGTAGATAATGCATCCTGTATAATGGAAACTATAGGCCCTAAGGAGTAGATCTTTGATATAGGTTTAGTAAGATCCTAACAGCTCCTTAGGCCTAGGCTGAGAGCCAGCTTGGTTTGGTGGTTAAGAACGGTGGACTCTAATCTGGAGAACCAGGTTTGATTCTCCACCCCTCCACATGAAGCCAGCAGGGTAACCCTGGGTCAGTCACAGTTCTCTCAGAGCTCTCTCAGCCCCATCCACCTCACAGCCAGTGTTCCCTCTAGGCTGAGTTAGTGTGAGCTAGCTCACAGTTTTTTTAGCCTCTGGCTCACACATTTTTTTATCTTAGCTCAGGACAGATGGCTCCAGAGCAAACTAATTTATGCAGCAGCCAAATCTCCTGCTCACAACTTTAATGCCAGTAGCTCACAAAGTAGAATTTTTGCTCACAGGGCTCCATAGCTTAGAGGGAACGTTGCTCACAGCATGTCTGTTGTGGGGAGACGAAGGGAAGGAGAATGTAAACTGCTCTGTAACTCCTTCGGGTAGTGAAGAGCAGGGTTTAAAAACCAACTCTTCTTCTTCCCCTTCTTCTTCTTCTTCCTTCCCAGCC